ACTCATTAAGGTGTGTAAAGTAACACACCTTTTCACTGAAAACACACCTTGGTGTGTTTGACAGCACACCTTGACCCATTAAAGAAACACATCTTTTGGTGTGTTATAAAACACACCTTTAAATTATTAACAATATACTTGATTGGCCTTATTTATTACTTATAGTATTTTAGTGCGTCGATAAAAGCGTCAGCCTTACGAGGAATTACTTGTGTAAGTCACAGGAAATTTCACGCTGTTCCATCGCATCTAAATTTAACTTTTTGCTTTAAATTCCTGTTATCTTTGGCCTGCGTTTCAGCTTTGATTAGTATTAAAAACTCTAAACATTACCTAAGACATAAATTTAAGGGAATTTACAGATCGTTGTGGTTTACTTTTGTAAGAATGATTAACGTGGGTTGTTTTTGAATATCTGCCATACAGACTTGTATATACAGGTCAGTGATTAATACGTCATACGTTTTTAACCAATAAGAATGTCGCGAGGTGTGAAACCCACGCGCACGAAATACAAACCACTGTTTAGTGTTTACATTTCCTTCTCTACTGTGACAACTGTGCTTCGAGTCTGTTTCAAGTTTAAATTGTGTTTATTGTGAAGGCGATTTTAAGATTATTTTTTTGGAGATAAACACACGAGAGCTTATGATGTTGTATAAAGAAGAAATTATAAGAGGGTAAGTTGTATTGCAGTGCTTTTCGAATCGTTTGTGTCAAACATTTGTATCAATTTCAAAATAATGGCCAACGAGTGTAATCAATATGGTTGTCTCTATCTATTTGTAGCGAATAAATTGATGGTTCCCTTACAAACGATGCAAAGAAATTCAAGACTACTCTTCGAAGGTCCCGAATAGCTTTAAAGTGAAAAGATGAAAAGTCTGCTTCATTCTAATAATTCAGAGACCACCGAAGCGCATGGCGAGGCGAACAGATTCGACATCACAAGAGTCGAGACTTGGTGAGTCTTACGTTTTATCTTTCAAAATTTAATTGTTCTAGGTGCTTTTAAAAAGCAGATTTACACGTATATTGGTGTATACATAAGGCTATTTATGCCATAGTTTATGTTTGTTATAAAGAAAACATATAATTCGCTAGGTGTAATCTTGATGAATTGTTTTGTGTCTTAATTATGTTTAATATTTTGTGTTCCTTTTGGGGGTCAGTAACATTCCAAAGGACCAATTTTTGTCCTCACTATATTTTACATATTAGATAGTTGATTTGACTTGAGTGTTCCAGAATGGTTTATAATTTTTAATATTATAGACTTGACTACTTACCCTAGCTGAAAGATAGCTATATATACATATTTAAATAAAATTTTCCCATTTTAAAGAAACTATAGGAAACGTGCTCAGACACCGATTTTTCAAATTTCAACAGAAGGTTATAATTCATGTAATTATACCTGCCTATACCTAGCAATACATCCTAAATTATTTTACCAAAAATAAATCTTAACTCATTAATTGGGTATCATTTAGCATGTTCTATTTAAAATTAACAGATGCTTGTGCACATCTTAAATTGGAAAATTCTAAATGCCAGATCCTCTTATGCATTTATTTTATATTTTCAGGTGACCTTTGTTGATTATGAAGATCATGAATTAAGGCGATAATGTTATTGCAACAGTCGAGCAGGCACTATACACTCCAACAAACAAGAACAAGGGTGACCAACAAGACAAGAAAACACTACTAAGTGTCAAGTCGAGACAACATCAAGTCAATAAACTCTATATATAGTAAGACATTATTTTAAACTAAACTGCATGCTTAAAGATATTTATATAATTCATGCTGTGACTTCATGTTAACAATTCTTAACAGTATTAGAACTTAAAATATATTTATAAATTAATATTGTGTTTGTGTGTTTTCTAGCCCTGTTTATATGTTACTTTTAGGAAAGGTGTGCAACTTTTTACTTAAACAATTTGTGTGTTTTCCAGCACAGCTTTAGCTGTGTAATGAAACACACCATGGTGTGTATGAAAACACACCTTCTTTGAAAACACACCTTAGAACGTGTTAAAATTTGGACAAGCCAAAAACACATCTTTTGGTGTGTTTTTTGACACACCTTTTAGTGTGTTCTACACACCTTTTGGTGTGCACAAAAACACACCTTGCTATGTGTTAACACACCTTTGAAGATGCTATTTGCACACCTTATGGTGTGTTGAACACACCTTTAGGTGTGTTTCAAAACCTACCTTTAGGTGTGTTAAAATTTGGACAAAAAAGGTGTGTAAATTTAACACACCTTTTTTTAGTGTGCAAACGTGTAGAAGCTTTAAAGAACGCGCCGGTACCCAAAACCATTTCTGAAGTAAGAAGTCTCCTCGGCATGGCAAACTACAGTGCCAAGTATATTCCGAAATTTGCAACCATTACAGCTCCATTGCGCCAATTAACGAAGAAAAATACACCTTTCGTGTGGACCGACATTCATCAGAACGTGTACAACACGTTAACTTCCACCTTAGCGTCAGCATCGTGCATGGCATATTTTGACAAAAATAAAGAGACACTGGTAACGGTTGATGCGAGTCCAGTCGGCATATCAGCAATCCTTTCGCAGAGAAACAAAGGAAAAGACGACGAGAAAGTAGTGGCATATGCGAGCAGAGCATTAACAGAAGTCGAACAAAGATACTCCCAAACCGAGAGAGAGGCGCTGGCTATTATTTGGGGAGTGGAACATTTTCATCACAGACCATAAACCACTAGAAGTAATCTACGGCAACAGAAACTCCAAGACATCAGCAAGAATAGAACGTTGGGTGTTACGCTTACAACCTTATGCTTTTCAAGTAAGATACAAGCCAGGAGCTAACAATCCGGCTGATTATCTATCGCGCCACCCAACAGGAAAAAGCTACAAACAGCAGAAAATGACAGAGGAGCACATAAATTTTATTGCTCGCTCCAGTGTTCCGAAAGCACTGACGATAGAGGAAATCGAAGAAGCAACGAACAAGGACAAAACCTTACGAGGAGTTCGGGCAGCTATAAAGCTCAACATGTGGCACTACGAGGTAGTCAAGCCTTATAAACAAGTAAAAGACGAACTTACTGTGACAACAAAGGGCGTGGTTCTTCGTGGTTCTCGTATAGTGATACCAGAATCGCTACAGCAACGTGCGATTGACATTGCACACGAAACCCATCTTGGCATTACCAAAACGAAATCATTAATCCGAGAAAAGATTTGGTTTCCGAATATTGATAAAATGGTACAAGCAACAATCGAAGTGCATTCCTTGTCAGCAGTGGGTAAAGCACCACCACAAGAGCCAATATCAACGACAACAATGCCAAAGGGACCATGGGAAACGATACATTTGGATTTCTACGGACCACTTCCTTCGGAGAATACCTTCTGGTCGCAATTGATCGCTATTCCAGATATCCCGAAGTGGAAGTAGTACGCTCGACAAAAGCTTCTGCGGTCATACCCAAATTAGATCAAATGTTCGCCCGTCATGGCATCCCAACAACTATCAAGACAGACAATGGACCGCCTTTCAATAGTGCAGAATATAATCGTTATTTGACAGCTCTTGGAATTAAAGATATTCATTCAACACCTAAATGGCCCCAGGGCAATGCAGAAGCGGAAAGATTCATGCAGCCCCTTGGAAAAACGCTACGAACCGCTCACATTGAAAGAAGACCCTGGCAGCAAGAGCTACATCGTTTCTTGTTACAGTACAGGACAACACCACACTCTTCCACGAAAGTTCCACCAGCGGAATTACTATTTAACCGTACAGTGAAAGGAAAGCTTCCAGAATTGAAAAAGCGGAACATTGTTAACAAACACAATATTGCTAAAAAGAATGAAATGGAGAGACAGCGATACAACAAAGAATATGCGAATGAAAAAAGAAACGTAAAAGAGAGTGAAATTAAGATAGGGGACTATGTCTTAGTTCGTCAGGACAAACAGAACAAATTGACTGCGAATTACAACAACGTTCCATACGTAGTCACACACAGATCGCATTCACAGGTTAAAGCAAGAAGCAAGAACGGACACGTTATCACACGAAATGTGTCGCAGTTTAAACGCATACCAAAGCCAAGGGATGATACGGACAGTGATGACGATAATGAGAAAGAACGTCATCAAAAGAGGAACAATACCATCACACTACCAGCAGCAACAAATGTTGGACATCAAGATCAAATACCGACACGACGATCGAGCCGAGTCAGAGGAAAACCTGATAGATTTGGACATTCAGTATATGATTGAATTATGTTTTGTTAAATGTTAATATTGTTTTAAAAAAAAAAGGGTGATGTAATATACATAACTGCTATTTCTAGATAATTAAGCTTGGACAATAGAATGGGAACTGATTGACAGTTAGAGACAGACAATAATATAGAAAGGGTATGAGAGCGAGAAAAGTAAGAGCACATGAAAAGTAATATATATAATATAGAGAAACAAAATATACAGTTATACAAATCGGAGCAAGGAGTGAGATCATTATACTATGTATTGCACATTAGATCATACACTAGCAGCTAGAATTATAATATATTCGACTATACTACCAGATCCTCGGTCATGTTTCAAAATCTCAACACGAAGCCTATTGAACCTTAAAAAACGCAATCCTTTCATGACAACATAAAGCCATTAAAGGCCTCCCTCCATAAGGCATAGCAGAATTATGCTAAACTTGCGAAAACAGGGGTTATGAACTGCGTCATTATGATTTAAAGCTAATCCATATAATTATAACTTACTATACCCAATCACTTCAACTCTGCCCTAACGTAACCGACATGCCTGCATATGAATTAAATTCTGAGCAAACAAACAACTATTATATGAAATACAAACGCCATAGAGTTCATATTAATTGACTTATGCGCCAATTCTACTGTGATGTCATTGTATTAGATGTGTTCCAAATTTTTCATTGGTGTATAGACACAGCAAAGACTTTATCTTAATTCCAGACTTACCTCGAAATATTTCCACCTTTTTTCTTATAATATTTTTTGATTCGAACTTCACCGGATACGTTTTTGCCGCTTTCTGATAGGTAGGCAAGTTTTTCATGATGACATCGACCAAGAGTCTAAAATCCCATCTATCTTTGTAGTGGCTGCTAACGAGGAAGATCTCGTCTTCACGAATGCCCAAAGCTTCTAAATTTTGGAAATAGTTATTCCGAACTTCTGCCATCACGGCCTTGATATCACGATTTTTTCTTTTGGCTTCGTTCTCTTCATCCAGGTCTACTTTCGTACGCACTAAAAGAAACGATTTTTCCATGGACTTGATTTTCTGCGCTATCTCTAGTTCTACTTCTCTAAATCTCGTTTCTGTCAAAATCAAAAACAAATCGCACGACTTAAATTCGTCAGAATATGTTTTTTCCTTGATTGCTGGTAGATCCACCAAAATTATTCTCGGTTCGTCGGGATAAGGATAAAAGGCAGGTTCATTTTTTTTTTCAAAAATGCCTGTTTTTGCCGCCTCTTCGTCGTCGTCATCAATTCTGCGGAAGAAAATTGAAAGGAATAAATCAACAAAAATATAAAAATGTTTTGAAAACCGGGTTCTATGTGCTCTAATGTACACGGATGAGGATGTTTTGATCAAGAGGAGGGCTAGGAAAAGATTGTATTAGCAATAGGCAAATATTGCAACTGATAGACAAAATGAAAGTTGCCAATAAATACAATTTCTACGTGCAAAAACCCTAAGTACGAAGTTCCATTTATTCTCGCGTTTATCAAAATTTGTACTGCTTAGTTTTTCGTTACAGTGGCCGCAGAAGATCGTTAAGGGGGGGGGCGCAGAAGATCGTTAAGGGGGGGCTAATATTCATGATATATAGCAGACCGTTAGAACAATCAATTTCCAATGCAACTAATAAAGCTGAACGCAAGAATATATATGAAATTTTTAGCATAACGAGAGTTCTTTGATATAATCCTTTTTTCGTTTAAAATTCTTTTCTCGTTTTCGGCCGAAAATTTATCCTTAATGTTGTCTGTATAATGAACATGCACCATAATAATTATACGGAACGGAATAAACTTGTTTTGAAGTTCTTTATTTATTGCATGATATGTTCGGGTTTACATATTGTTTGCGTTTTTCAAGTGGGCATGAAACGACTGTATTAAACGGCTAAAATTTTATTGGAATGCCATGCAGGTATTGCGATATTATTATCAATATGGATTGTACGAAGAGAAAGTACTTAATCGATATAAAGATATAATATTGATATAACAACAAGTTTTCAGAGCGTATAAGGAATGCAAACTGAGAATAAAATGCCAAATAATTCTGCAAAAGTGATATCGTTTGAACCTCACATAGCAGAGACGCAGACCATAATCGTTTACTGCCCTCTTCAGTCTAGAGACCTCTACGTGGCACGTCGATCAACAAAATTATACATGCTTCGCAACCGGAAATACGAAAGTGACCTGTTGTTATATGAATACATACTATAATATGTTTATTGTCAAATTTGAATTAGTTTTATATCGCGATATCGAAGTAAAAATATATGACGATTGCGTTTTCTCGTTTTTTTGTACAATGAGTTTACACATGGTTCCCATACACCCGCAGTTTAGTGTCCTTAGAAACTTACGAATTTCATAGATATTAACACACGAGACATGAAAACCATTACCGACCTCAGTTGCAAATATATGTAACTTCAATGGTTTGTTGTGACAAGATGGCTTATGTGTATGTAAAGCGTATTTGTAGCTATTAAACTAAAAGAAAGTTAACTCCAGCTCCAAACGGACTAAGTGTCATATAGATACTTATTACTGCATCTCTTACCCTCTAAAAGCGTTGATAAAACTTGATTTCCCGACTTTTGTCGTTCCTGTGACGCCAATTTTAATTTGTACATCTCGAAAGTTCTCGAGTTTTTCTTTCATTAATTTCTTCGCTCCCACGACGCCTTTCTCTTCAATAAAACATTTAGTACCATCCTCTTCTTTGTCGATACTTCCATAGTCCGGTTTGCCCTGTTTTGGTTTAGACGTAGATGATCCCATAGCGAATTTGAGCGTTCGCAGTAATTTGAGCGTTGGCGTGTTTGTGAAAACGAAACTGGCAGAGCGTATCAACTACAATACTACATTATTATGTTAAAATCTGAAATGTGCAAGTCAAATGAATGAAGATAGCAGTTGATTGGTTTATTTGGCTGGGATATTCTTTTTAGATTAAATAATTTTCCAAAACACATTCATATTCCTCTAGCTAGCGGTCGCGGAGTGCCGTACGAGTGTATTAGTCTATTATAAATCTGCTGAGAGATTTCATTAGACTTTAGTCGTACTTATATTGCACTGCAAAATAAAACAAATTACACTAACAAAAGATAGAACTACAGAAAACAGGGATTGGAAACGAACACATGATCAGTGGCGTAGCCAGCACGATAATTGGGGGGGGGGGGGATATTCATGCATGCATTTCAGCAAGAAATTTTTAAATTTTATTGCTTTAGATCCTTGCTTTTCAAGTTGTTTTGAGAGCGATTGACATAACATTTAGCGAAGCAATTGCCGCTGTCTTTCTTCAACGTATGAAACACCAAAACGCATAACACTAAAACTATATTGTAATGAACGAAAACTTTTATGCATGAAAGTTTTGATCACATCTACAAGTGTTTATTACTACCACCTATATACAATTTCCAATCAGCAGTTTGAATTTCAAACTTTTTTTTTAAACTACAGTAAATCCCCCCCCCACCCCACTTCCTACGTCCCTGTATCCATTGTTTTATATAGAATTGTCGAATGGTTTGGACTTTCAAGTTCACATTTGTGATCGAAGACCATTTCTCATTTTTTATTTAATATATATACCTTAAATAAGACACTATGGTATAAAAGTGGGGGGACAATGATATATTCGTCCCCTCCTACTCCAAAAGTGGGGGACCTGTCCTCCCAGTCCCCCCATGATTTACGCGCCTTGCTTTCATTGAATGTATAAATATGGGGGGATAATAAGACATTTGTCCCCCCAGAGTCCAAAAACTGGCCCGTCCAAAAATTGGACCCGTTCCCCCCAGGATTGACGCCCTTGCTAACAAAGCAAACCTTGTTGGAATACAAATACGTATTCAGATGATCGAAGCACACATAAAACAAACAAAATGGAAATGTTTCCTTTATTAATAGTGATGTAGCTGCAAGTGGTCAATTGAGTAATTTGCAAAGGCGCAATATCAAGTATTCATTGCTATACTATAACCCTAAATTATAACCGTGAACAGGACAAGCATTAATAGCAGTTCTTACATTTTGTTTTGTAAATATTGTGTGAAAACCGAAGTTCCTAATCTGCATAAAGGCAGAATAAGTAATAATACAAAGTATAGAAATACATGCAAGCAAAATCCTATTTGAAGCAATTAACATAAAAAATTATTCCAGCAATGAAAGGTAAGTCATTGTGAAATACAGTTCACTTTGAGAATGTAAACGACTATTTCAGCTTTTCACCTTATGTTTTCACCTAGTGAAAGCATTTGTGCTCGTAACTATTGAGTAAACAACTTTTCAGTCTTTGTTTGGAATAATTGCTTTTCCTAATTCAAATGAATTTAAAAATTGATGAATAACTTCATACATTTGTTGATAAATCCACAGATCAAACGTACAAATGGCTTATGTATTTATGTAATAAATCATGTTAAAATTGTGTTTGTATATAATAATTATGTAATTATTGTAAATACATGCAGCACTAATTGTGTCAAAGTACCGAGTTATGTTCCTTCCAACCGTTTAACTGCAATTTATCGTTACTTATCGTTACTATTATAATTATTCTACGAGTTACTGTCCTAAACTGTATAATTGAACTCTTTTCCGAATACACTAAGAATACACTAATTTTAGTGCAAAGTAACTATATGTTAAAAAATAATTGTATTTAAATATTAACTTGGTATTTTCTATAGTCACCCTTTCACCGACCGTTCAAATGCATTGTCCCATATTACCAATGCCACTTCTTCCATTTCGTCTATAGATTGATTGAGAAAGTAGAATGTCGCAGCAAACGACAGACTGCCAGCGATCGCCAAGCCAATGAATGGAATGAACTTGGAAACCTGTTCAGCTCCAAGCAACCCTACGGCTGCTTTAGCTCCAAAGGATTTGATTAAATCAACAGCAGAAGACATTTGATATCTTGTAATAACGTCTTTAAACTTTTTTTCCAACAGTTCAAACGCTTCAGGAGCTGTGTTTTGAAGGCCAAATGCTCTGAAGTTCATACTCAGGGTAGCTTTAATTATTACGACATCAATAGCACATCCTATCCCGGGAAAAGGGATTGCCCCAGCACCACCGGATACGGCTGCCACGGCGACAGCTTTTGCTGTTCAAATTTGAAAAGAAATCTTTCAATATTGAAACAAATATACGTCAATGAATAATTTTTTGTTAATTGTTTGATGAAATTTGATTGCGATATCGGATTAAAATTTCTCACAATATAAAATATATTACCTATAAGCTATCTGAAAAACTGCGTGATAACTTAATTATCTCATTAATCTCAATCTCAATCTCTAATTAGTATTATCTTTCATTTTTCAGAGACGACTATATGCTTCCAACAACGGTTTACTCTATTCCTGTGGTATTTTGTGAGCCTAAGCAACAAGGATATATAGGACCTGTTTGCCTCGTCCCTCTCTGCGCGCTCCTATGAGGATATAGATTTGAAATATCTTAATTTTATGGCTAGCAAACAAAAATCACTATAAATACTGCATGACATTTTTCGACTGCTATATATTCTGAACTGACTCCCAAATCCGACTTGATATCATTTTAGCTTATACAAGATTATACAATTGACACCTTTGACTTCATGATTATGTTGAAAAATTATGTAGAAAATCGTTATAAAATTCGATATAAAATGGGGTGAATCTTGAAATTTCAAAGCGCAAATATTAGGCATTTAAAAAACGAAGAATCCGGATAGATAGATACATAGCATAAGATGAAAACACCCAGCAATTTGCGTACCTTTAAGAAACCTCGCCTTTCTCTTTAGGCACTCCCGTGTAATATTTGTTAACGATATCGTCAGGCACTCTCTCTGAAGAATAGGTAACGCGTCGCTAATGGCTAGGATAAGACGGTCGAAATCCCATTTGTTTGTATCGTAGTTACTAATCAGAAAGACTTCTTTTTCACTGCATATTAAATCCGTAACATTTTCAAAGCAATCTTTTTTAATCTTCTCCAAAGTTTCTTCTTCGTTGATTGGTTTTCCTCCCTTTTTAGGGCTGAGGTCAACATCGATCTTGGTACGGATAAGAAAAAATGATTTGCCCATTTCTTTAACTTTCTTTGCAAGTTCCAAATCGGCGTTCCTGAAGCGGAATGCGGTAAAAATGAGGAAGGTGTCGTAATCGGCAAAACCAACTTTTCTACAATAGGTTGCAAGATCAGGATATTTAGGTGTGCCGATGCCAGGTAGGTCTACGAAGATAATGTTTTGATTGCTAGGGTGCTGGTATTCTGTTGGTGCAACCGTTGCTTCAACAACATCTACTTTTGCAGCTCGTTCATCGTCATCTGTAAGTCTGTACATAATAACTGCGTGTTTTTTTATTGAAGATACAGTACTGTCTAGAAATAACACTCAGTGGCGTATTTAGTCAATGAACACCAAAATATTAGCATTGCGAGACAAATCGTCAGGCTGGCTACGCCACTGATAACACTGCGGTTATTGTCAGGTTGCGGTTCGGTTGCGGTCGACCGATAGAAACCGCAGACGGTTGCCGTTCGCTTCCGAACGGAGTCTTATGAAGAGCTGAGAACGACAACACAATAATCATATGGAAAACATCTTCAGAAATGTTTGTTAGACCGAGTTAGACCGAGGTTTAACCTGCGATCAGACCGATGTTTGACCTACGTTAACCTCCCTTTTTTGTTAGGTTATTTCTGGACAGTACTCTATATCAGATAATGTTATTATACGAAATAGATACAATTATAGTTTTAACAGAGAGAGAAATTGTTAGTGCATAAAAAGATATATGTTAGATATTGCTCGGGGAAAGGTATGCTTTTTCGTGCGTACTCAAAAGACAATGTCTCTGAGATTGCAAAAATATGCTTGTACGCGAACTATACGGTATACGGTTCATCTCAAAACTGGTATATTGTCACATTAATATCATCATTATCGAAGACATATAAGCAAAATCACTTATAAGCATAAGCAAAATTCTTCGCCCTTTGGCATGGCCAAGATTGAACTTTAAAATTTTAAACATATCTACAGTTTTATAAAGAAACGATAATTACCCTCTTATGGCATTCATGAATGCTGACTTTCCAACACCACTCTCTCCAGTTATTCCAAAGCGAATTTTCACGTCTTTCGATCCCTCAAGCTTCTTCTTGAGAAAATTTTCAATATCTGTTACACCATTTTCATTAACGTATGTTCTCGTATCATCCATATATTGATCTACTAAATCTGCTGTCGTGTCTAGAGGAATTCAAAATCCGAAATAGTCAATTTTCGCGACATTCGAAAGTTCAAAAGCACTGGCAGCTGTGTCTTGTGAAGGAAGCTGATATGTAGGGGATAAAAAAATTAAGACGCTTGGAATTTACGTATGGTAGTTAGGTAAGAAAGTATCACTGCGCTACCGCTTTCGACCATATAACAAAAATTATAGTCTATTATAACTGGACGGTTCTTTCCACAACAAGGAAGGCTAATTAGGCCATCATGACGACACATTACCTGTTGTTATAGCCTGTATCAATTGGGGAAATTCCCATTTGTCTGGATCGTAGTTACTGATAAGAAATATATTTTCACGTGATAAACTCGTTCTTTTGAGCACAAAATCACGGATACTTGTCATAAACTCTTCTTCTCTAATCTCACTTTTACTTTTTTCCGACATGTATTCAATGTCCATTTTTGTACAAATGAGAAAGAATGACTTTTTCGCAGATTTGACTTTCTCTATTAATGCGAGATCAAAGTTTGTTATTCTGGCCGAAATAAATATCAGAAATCTTTCAAATT